ACTGGTATAGTTTACTAAACATCCAGTTTCCGTATTATTTTTATTTAGCACAGCTGCTAATAAATCTGAGTAATATCAAGAATAACCTAATTCTCCAGCTTTAAACGAAACACTATAACCTCTAGTAAGATATTTAACGCTATTAATTCTAACCCACGGTCTTAATATATCAAGATTATCACAAATCATGTTGCTTTCGTTCTGATTATTTTCCTTATCTTGAAATTGGGGAATAACATAAATATGTCAAATTTCATTGCTTTTAGTGTTTACGATAGATGTACAACATGATCCATTCTGAACATTACTTTTGATAACTCTTACACCACTCCAATTGATTTCAATATCATTTTCATAGTTTAGAATAAAATTATTATATTCAACTTCTTGTTCGGGATAGACTTTGATATGATCTAATCATAACGAAATAGCGCTCATAACAACTTTATAATGTGCATTAGCTACATCCGCGTGAATCATGTCATTACTTTTACTGCCACTTAAAGTAAATGTCACCGCAATATTTGAAATAATATTTCTAAAAGCACCAAATAATCCAAAACAATGTTTAATTGGAATCCATAATTTTATTTTATTACTGTTTTTTGATAGAACCAACATTTTGTTAAACCTTCATTGTAAGAAGGATTATGTTTAACTGTTGATACCTATTTACCAATTTTAGCCTTGCCTTCCACTTTACCTTATAATGTTGTTGTTCCATTGTTATCAGATATTAGAATTTGTTTACTTTGAGATTCTGAAGTATCTGTATAATAAAGCGTATTACTTACTTCACTAGTGATATAATCATTCGTAAAATTTATCAACCCTTGTAAATGATGTGCTAGACATGGTAATTCAATTTCTTCAATCATAGTATTACTAATATCTAATTCAGCTCTTGAAAAAAAAATTCCAGTATTAACTAACACTAAATTATCAGTACCAATTGTAGCTCCATTTTGTTTTGTAATTTTTGATTCGGGACAAATATAGCGACTAGAATATAATATATTATCATTTATATTTATAATGTTGGATACATAATTATCCTCCTCTTTTTTTATCGATGACTACCTTATCTTCACGATGTTGTTTATATTCAAAACTTTCTATATCATTTTGATAATAATTAGGTCCACTCGTTAGATAGGTGGTTAAGGAGCTCAACTCACAATCTGCGGGTCGCGGGTTCGAATTCCCGTTCCTCCAAACATGCTCGCACTTTCAGCCGTGGGGGCGTTATAACGTGACGGTCAATCCCACTATTCATTAGTAAAAGAGTAGCCCAAGAGTTGGCGGTGAGTGGTGATGATTAGCTGCCTTAACTCTAGTCTTACACTGCTAAATTAGGAACGGTTAGCGCAGATAGCCCTCGTGTAGCTTTGCGCGATATTCAAAATAAAGTTTTATTGAATCTTTCAACAGTACTGAAATCCTGGTAAATGCATTACAGGGGGCTTAAATTTATTTTGCATACAGCCAATCAGACCATCTCCTCTGATTTATATCCATTTAACTTTGCTTGTTTATGGTTCTTATTTCTTCGAAAGTGTTTTAGTGTATGAATGAAAATATTTTTCCTTTATATTAATTTCTTCTTCAATCATATTTTTACATTTAAAACAAAATTATTATCTCTTTGTAACAGTTATAAGACCTTTTATATTCTTCTTTTCTAGCAGATATGTTTAGATACGTATCAACTACTTCCATGACACAGGTTCCTAGACTTAATACTGTTAAAGGAACAGTAACAAACGCTGCTAAACCATAAGCACTGAATATAAACTTAAAACTTATCATAACGATATTAATATCAGAATATAATTTCTAACTTCTCCGACACACAAATAATTTCTTCTCTAAATATTTCTTTATTTAATAGAGTGATAACTATTAGTTATTATAATGGGTTAAAATTTAAAAAACACCAAACATAACCAAAAAAAATCATCAAAAAATATCAAGAAATGAAAATCTTTAAAAATCAGTTTCGTTGCCCTACCTAATTATGCCCCACTGGTTATAAATTAAAAAAAACAACACTAAATTCAATGATATGAGTTATTTTATTACTTCCACAATCTTTCATTCCTCGGTATGCGAAAGCTGGATCTTTCTGTTCATTCATATTCTCAAGCTCCCTAGTGGCACAGAATTTTCTGAATTTGTTTATTTCTAAGTGGATTAGAAACATCATATTTTCTGCTCTACTCTCCATCATTATATTTTTAAAACTCTAACTTTGATGAAACGATTCTCTGTTAGTGAGCTATTTGCGCTGTATCAATCCCGGATATCGAATCCCGATTTATAGCGTTATAATTCCTCAAACTTAATGCTGAACCGCTGGGAAGCAGGCTAAAGCATTTAGATATTTTTAGTTCATATTACTCATATCCTATCGTCATCATTCCTTTATCTATTCACTCCTTAGTAGAACAACGGTATGTCTGTGGACTTACAACGCTACATAACGGATTTCAATACCTGTAGTGGGCAGAGCGCAGATAGTTATTAATTAATTACAAATAAACCAAACCTTTTCTAATTATCTGTTTAATTGACCCTTTGAAGTACTTCTGTTTTGTAAAACTGGTTATTCATGCACACACTCACACACATATATATATAACGTGTTTATTAAAATCCCTGTAGCATTTCTTTAATTGAACAACCAATCACAATAAAAAAAAAATAGTGATTAGGTAATATTTGTTGTTTTTTTCTGCTCTGGAGCACCCAATAATTTTACTGTCACGGTTTTTATATTTTTCTAAGTTGAGAATAACTGTAATTAAATATTAGAAATGAAGCTGTTTAGCTTTTATGAGAACGACGAGGCGTGACCAGTAGTTATCGCGTCGAACTGTGAATCCAAGGGTCCATGTTTCTTGTGCTGCAGCAAAAACGCGCACAGCACCCATGGCCCCAAATCATAGAAGCCCAAGAGTTGGTGGTAGGTGCTATATATTAGCTACTTCACTCTAGTCTATCATTTCAAAATTATGGTTGATTATAGCAAATAGCTCTTGTGTAGCTTTGCGCGAATATCCTAAACAAACAAGTTGTTAGATATTTGTCAGAAACCGTAACACCTCTCCTATAAAGAAATACTATATATCACTTTTTGCTTTTGATTGGGTTTGTCTGTTTGAGACAAAGAGTGTTTCACTATATTGTATATTGAATCTAGTCTCTTTCCATGTTGCAAATCAAGTTTATGTTTGGATAATTCAGAATCGTTCCGTAAAATGCTTTCTGTGGAAGCCTCCTGTTTCCTACGGCTCCTACCGAGTTACTCTTAATGAAAAATTGGTGCGTATGAGAATACCGCATGCCCAAATGTCAAGTTGTTTAAGAGGTTGAAAAATTTCATCATGTCTGATGTTCTTTTATGAATTTTCAAATATCAAAACTATTTGATATTCGGGCAGAAGATTTGATTTCACGAGTTAAGTTTGAAATTAAACCCTTAGCACACTTCTGATAATGAATCATATACCAAATTTAGGACTTCAGACTGAGCAGTATCAGATTCTTTACCGCTTAACTATATCGTGATTCATCACATAGAGCTTTCAGATATGTTTAGATTATGAGATATGAGGAAAACGAAAAATCTAATTATTTATGCTGAGAGGAATTAACAACAAGATTTCTTTGCTAATTTATTCACGACGAGGTGTGTTCCTCCTTTGCAATCAATTACCTTTCATTATTCACTTATCAGAATTTTGGCCTCTCTATACATGTTGTAAGGTCAAATCCAGAAAAACAAACACACCTTAAAAACTCTCATTTTATGAATTATATTCTGTTTTATAACTATAACAATTAAATGAGTAGGTTATATTAAAACGACTTCAGAGAGTCTCATCATGTCATTACAATGCATGTTCCCCTGCCCATTAACGCCCTACCTGACGATTATACATCTTAATAGCCATGCAGCATAGTTTCCATTGCAAAAGTCCCCATGGTGAGGCTGTCATCTCCAAAGTACACCACTCCTCCCTCCAATAATTTCATAATTGACCTAGTGTATGAGGATGAAAATTTCCAAGCTCCGTTTCAACAATTCAATAGCACATAAATCCATAGGTAACTTGACTGGTACGTCTTCTTATGAATATTAGTTTCGTTTTCCAGCTGCTTGAGGAATACAACAGTCGAATGGATATGCCATGGAAGCAGCTTGTGTCTAAATTACTTTTGTCAGTTTCCAGTCTCCTTGATTATATCACGTACTGTTTCTTGGGGCACTGGGCATATTTGCCATTAAACTTGGTATTCGTGGATTCTTACCTATTGCAAAAGATATACTTTGTTTACTACTGATAAGGTATGACTTGTTGATGTTCTCTTTCTGAATGGTCCTGATTCCTCAAAGTGATCCATATTCCTATATTTTATAATGTTTTTAAGTGCAAACCATATTCCCACTTTAGAGATTTTAATTCCCTCATCTGAACTGATATTTATGATCTGAGTATAAGAACATTTTATGTTGGAAAGAACATCATACTACCTACCTGTCACCAAATAATACCAAAGTGTATTTCTGATACATGCCGTTCCATTGTGATTTTATATCGGCTGTGGTTGTCAGATGATTTAATTCTTAATTACTAAAAATCATTTTATTATAACGTATTCAACCCTTTAGATATGGAACAATGTTTATGTACAAAGAATCTTATATTTATAAAAATTATATTTTACTTTTATCCCGAGTTTTAGAAGATATATATATACAATTAAACTCATGAAAATAGTTTCCCAATATTCTATTGGCAAAATACAAATCATTTTGATGATTGTAATAATATATTTCGATAATTTTTCATCAGTTGCACAGATTATTATTTCGGATTTCGTATTATTTTAAATTAATATAGTTAATTACTTTTAAAATGTGTAAAAAGATTAATAATTCTAAAAGAAATGCAGATTAATTACAATGTCCCCCAAATATAGTTTGCTGAACAATTCTTTATTCACACACAACGATGACACGTCGTCACACCAACAATAAATATAAGATTTGAAATAGATTAGAACAACAATAAAATTTTTTATGAATATACTTAGATTAAGAATTTTTTTGGGGACGATATATTTCATTATTCAGTTATTTCTATTGTGTCCTTGTTCTCCTTATTTCATCTTCATTTTTGTCTAATGTCAAATTTAATATTTAGATTTTTTCATAGCAGAATAGTGACTCATCATTTCATCTGGCATCATAATACCTATTCAGTTTTTCTTTCCACACCAGAATACGAATCAACATCTAACCCGGTATCAGAATATGAATTTAGGGGTTCTTCTCACATCCCCAATTTGGACTCAGTTGTTTTTCTTTTACTTGTAGCTGGACTACATAATCGTCTTTTCTTCTCATGCCAGAAAGCAGACTCCCTATTTCATTTGTTATGAAACTACTTATATGAGATTTTGAATTATAATGAGGTATAATGTTAGAACAGGGCCCCAGTTTATACTGGTGTTAAACTATACACGTAGCTTTTTGTACCCCAGGATTCGGCTTATCATCTGGTGTAGGACTTCAGATTACGTGATCGGCGTTTTTCACATACCAAATATAGTCTCAACTGTTTTAACTGGAATCAGATTAAATACTCATTTTTGTGTTTTCTGACGCCAGACATTAAGCAATACTTTTGTTTAGGAACCACACTGTAGACTCAATGACTTTTAGTGTGAGTAACGGACCTTTGCAGTTTCAGAATAAATTAATCAAAAGCTTTTGCCTTGAAGCCACAATGAAAAGAGTTCTTTCCTTTGATTTTAGAGTATTGTTCCCTGTAGTCTTAAGAAAAACAAATCTTCTTTCCTTAAGTGATTCTTGAAATTGGATTTATTCTTTTTATACCACAGATTCAGCCGGAGCTGTAGAAATTCTAATAGATTCTTCAATGGTATTTATGTCTGATGTAATAGATCTAGCAACTGGAATGTATACCATTGGCTTAATCATTTTCGGTGTGAACAGCTTATTACAACTAGCACAGTCCACGCATTCACCTTCCTCTTCCGAAAGTCGTGCTAGTTGAGGTCGAAGGGCTTCATCCAGTTCCTCTATCAGTTCTAATTTTTCCGGATCTTCGACGATTAACTCTGTAATTCCATTTGTAACAGCATTAGAAATGAAACATTTCTCTGGAAGTGCATTTGACTCCTCATCTGCTGGAGAAGACTGTAGTGGTTGAAGCGATCCTTGGTTTTGTCGACCTACATCAATGGAATCATACAGAGGATTTCTTGTCCATGACAACGTGGCTGGAATTCTCTCAGCATTGATCTCAATTTCCAAATTTCTCAGACGATTAGACAACTTTCCTTTCTTAACCCTTGTGTTATTTATAGGATTGTTAAACGAAGACCGAACTGAGCCTTGAGAGCTAGAGTTTCTGTACGTACCATTTTTCTGAGGTTTTCCTTCCTCTTGTCGACCCCAACAACACCAGCAACAACAGCAAATACACCAAATGTTTGGTTCACCAGTACACAACTTCTCTCTAAACGCCACTCGAAATCGGTTCGACATAACGCTGTATAGAATTGGGTTTATTGTGGAATTGAAATAGTAAAAACACCCTACATGGATTGAAAAAAAAATAAGAACAATTTTAATTATTTTAATAGTCATCCTAATTTGACAACTCTCAAATGTGAAATGTTCTAGTTACGTAAATAGTTACTGTCTTTAAATAACACTTGATTAAGATTTAAAAGAACAGTTAATAGTCTTCTAATAACACAGTATTTTCAACATGTTTTGACAACAAATATTTTTTTATCCCTTTGATGTAATTTATCACGACGTTTCTGAAGTAAGGTTGGCAGAGATTTTGGTTGGTAAAGTCGAATAAAATAGAGCGAGAAGCAGGCTGTGATCTCTTAGCTAGAAGACATTATAAAATAAATTGGAGATAAGAAAGTTGAATTAAGAAAGTTGTTACATGCAGCCAGGAATAGAGAAATAGAAAAGATAGGAAAACCATAGTTGTTCACCTTTAGTATTGGGGAGGTTACAGTGATTCATGAAAGGATGCTTAAAACATGTATTTAATACTTATTTAAACTTTTATGTTGTTTTATTGATCGAGAAATACTTACCAATATTTACAAGTTTGTAGTAAATTTTTGGTAAAATAATGTTGTTTGCAAGTGTATATGTATATATATATATATATATATATATGTTAATTGCAAGGTAATAAAATAATATAGAATGAAATGAATATAGTATACTTTATATGATCGCAGTATTTATGTCATCGCTAGATGATATCGAATAATATTTATTTTATGGGAATTAAATATTGCAAAACACACATTAATGTACAAACAATAAACTCAGTAAACAGTAAAGTTACCTTAATTGATTATTATTTTTCTTTGCTTTGTAAAAAACTACAATGCTGAGATAGTTTTGCTAACAAAATTGAAAGAAAAACGCACTAGAAGCTTCTTTAGTTATGTAAGCAAATATGAAGAAACTATTTTCTACGTTGGTATGAAAACTTGTTTACTCTGATGAACGTGTACAATCTAGATACATGCATTTTTTATCGGAGTGGCAATTCTAAAGGTGTTTATGTTCAGTGTTCTCTCTCAGAATAAGCCGATAAACTCAGTGACAAAGTTTAACTCATTAACTTACATATTAAAAGTGTACGCGAAGGATTAAAAAAATATACGTAGTCTATTTGTGTAAGACTTTACTAAAACAAAAACCCTATGGGAAATAAAAATTACTTTATTAAAGGTTATTTGGACAAAAATGGATGTATATATTTGGTGTGAGATAGTATAACATAATGTATCATTTAAAAGGGTGTGCGTTAAAAAGGTAGTGTATAATCACTGATGCCAAGGGAACAAATCTAAAGGAGCAAAAAGAAACAATGTTGGCAGTAACAACCACTAAAAACAAGAAAATTAAGCACTGCTATGTATTTTAAGTAGGTTTATAAATGACGAGGGCTTCCGAACGATCAACATGAAAACTCACTTCACCAGATATCGTTCTCATCTTTATATTTTCTTATCTACTGGGTAGAACGAAGGTAGAGTGTGTATTAATTAAGTAATCTATCATCATTACTCTAACATTGTACATCGACAAAGGTTTATTGCCCGGCCTTTAGCACCGTATGGGATGTATCTAATTCACACAAGAGATCGTTCTTCTATATTTTCACTATTAAATTGACAGGAGTACTAAGCAATCAGTCCTGCGGGGGTTCTCTAAGGAAAAGGAAAATCGCTGTCAGAAAACGTATTATGTAACGATGTATTTAAACGCGAATTGTCGCGAATAATAGCAGTTACATTGCACTTAGTGTTATTTAATAGTGCAAAAAACGCATTCCATCTATACTTTGTAGTTTTACAAAATGTCCTTTTTGAATAAGAATAGAATAGTAATATTTAATGAAATGTTTAGAACATCTAAGATATGTCGTTGTCAATAATAACCGTGGACATTACTTAATAAAACGAAAAAAACAATTAAGAAAAAACAACAACAGCTTATTGTCGTATTTCTCATACCTATTTTAGCATTTATAATTTGTGTCATAATGTTAAACGAAACCAACTGAAGGTTCCACATCCACATTCAAAGCTTACCTGCCAAAGTAAATAGGTAATGGTTGACTTTCCGTAACGTTTCTGTCCACTCCGAATAAAGAGATACGAAAACGAAAAGCAGTCGTTGGGCATGAAAAGGAGCCCAACACACAAAGAATGCGACCACAACAGCGGCTAAAAAGGAAAAAAATATTGATATTAAACATAGTCTCGAGTTTATATTTGAATAAGTGTGGATACGATATCAATCTTTATTCAGATAAAGCAAAGTTATAAAAAAGGCTCTCACTTGGAGCAAAACACAAGAGAAATAAAACTTGTTCATGGACAACACCATGCTATTAAACTTGTTCATGGATAACACCATGCTATTAAACTTGTTCATGGACAACACCATGCTATTAAACTTGTTCATGGATAACACCATGCTATTAAACTTGTTCATGGATAACACCATGCTATTAAACTTGTTCATGGATAGCCCCATACTATTAAACTTGTTCGTGGACAACACCATGCTATTAAACTTGTTCATGGATAACACCATACTATTCTGCAAGAATGAAGAGGTTTATTTGCTAAATCGCAATTTTCTTACATGATTCGCATTAAAAAACGAAACATAATGTTATTTTCATAAATCATGAATTAGCGAAATAGAATGTGTCTGTGAGCAAATAGTACTATACTTTCTAGAAGAACCCTCATATAACGTGCTATCATTGCATTGACGACTCATAAGATGTACTAAGGATGTTCTGAAAACCTAATAATAATTAGGCAAGATTTAGATCTTCACAAGTTAAATAGTGAACAAGCTCATGTTTGTAAACTTTGTAGTGCATTGGTTGAAGTAAACTAAGTAAGACAGATTAGCTATTAATAAGACGTTTGTCTGCGGTTGGGTCAACGATAAGTGTATGGATTTATGATGCTAAAATCCAGGGTTCGATTCCTCACATTGAACAGACCATAGATGACTCATTGTGATATTTGCTTCAAAACAACAACAATAACAGAATAAGATATTTTTTACTATGAACAATAAGAAACTTCCTTTTAAAGATGATGTTAAATACTTGTTTTCTGTAATTTACATCTTGAGTTGTGTTTAATATTAAAGATATTGGCATTCAGTCTCGACGAGACAGTTCAACGAATGTTTTCTCTTTTAAATATCTATCTTGTGTGAAAACGCCATATTGTGGTAGTCTACCTTACTGTTTTAGATTTTATTTTGATAGTGATTTATTTACCTAAAAGTCTAATTGCTATCCTTTGTGAGTGAATTTTCGTACGTTCTCCTTCTCCTTGACACTTGGTGCTCCCCTCTGACGTGCACCTGTGTATTTTGCGAGATCGATGGAGAGTCATGGTTATCCTGATATACATAATAATGATCAGTGTGACAGGAACTACAAAAAAGAGAAAAGTCGAGCACACCATTAATGTTTCCCAGCTTTTATCCGGTTCGTGGAAAGGAAACCCGCACCAAGCCGATTCAGACAGTTGTTTCTTTTTGTCGTCTTTCAGGTAATTGATCTGGTTAAAGAGTCCATATGGAGCTGCTCCTGCTAAAGAAAGTATCCATATAATAACGATATTACGAATGGCGCGAGATAGCTTGGACTTGGTCTGCTGACGGATTGGATGGCAGATAGCTATATAGCGTTCTACACTGAATGTCACAATGGTGAGAATGGAAGCATCAGCCGTTGTTTCTGGTATGATAGCACGTAGCTCACAAATGACGTTTCCTAGCTCCCATGGATACTGATGCCAAAGAGTGTAGAGCTCCAGTGGCATAGCTGAAAGAGAATATTAACATATTTTTTTAATAACCTGAATTCTGTAAAGCTTGCAGATTAAATGCAATTTACCAGCTTTATATCAGGTGTATTAATATTAGGTATGATTTTGCAACAACTAGACTAAGTCAAAATAATAACAACAATTTTGAGAACAGACTGGAAATTGTGTATTTTGCATATATGATAAAGCTAGCAAACAGCACAAAGATTTGTGAGGGGCCTCGTCTCTTCTTGCAAAATAATAAATGTTTATGTCTGTTATAATGATGTATTTTTATTGTGTTTCTGTTTTATTCGGGGCATTGATAACTTGTGATATTTTTCTGTTTCTAATATATTTATTCTAATATATCTAATATATTATATTTCTGCTTTATTAGGTGCATTAGCCTCCAATAGCTTAGTAGAGGCTCTAGAGGTTAGTTTTGGCTTGAGTATCTATGTCTGGTCCCAGTTTTTAAAGCATAATTTGTTTACATGTAAGATTTGTGAACAAATGTTAAATGTGATATACGATGTATCCTTATAATTGTGCGATTCCTACTTCCTCCAAATGCACATTTTACTAGGTTACACATTATCGTTTCCACGTGTAGTGTATATATTAGTTGAATTAGTGTGTCCTATATGTGCAACATGTGCAACATGTGCCTAGTTGTTTTATATTGTTTATGTATGTTGCCGTGTATATACAATATATTTCTTGCAAAGTACCTCATAATATCACAATACAAAGAAACAAATGAAATGACTTACTACCTCCACCCGGTGACTCAGCAGTAATGTTGAGGGTTTATGACACAAACAATGCGTGGGCATAGCGCAAAAAAAATCAATAAACTCAATCTTTGATATATTTTAGAAAAGTGATTTTTTTTCTCATTTACTCATGCTGTAAAGGAAGAGCATCACTACTACTCTATATTATAAATTATAAAAATATATATATATATCTAAAATAAGAACTTAAAACATCGATTACTAACACCTGCCACATGAGCCAGCTCAGAATATTTTAGTACTGAGCCTAGGGAGGTCTTCAGGGAGAGGGGGGGGGGGTATTCCGGAAACCTGTGATTTAGTGTTATTTCGATAGATGTCGATGAAAGAAGCTCGGAACGACTTCTAAAACAACAAAAAAACTAAATATTAGTGAAATCTATTTGGATTATACCTTGGTGATACCATAGTGGGCGTTATACCATATTCCTTATATTTTCTCCTCTTTACAGAGAATCGCTAGGGAAATCATCTTGTAATATATCGTGCATCTGCTTCAAGTTCAAAACTGTATCTTTAGACTTTACTGTACTATTGAAACCAATGATTTCTTCTATAAGATTCCAATCGACATTTCAGAAGATAACAATACGATTGTGCCCTTTTGTTTATGTTTCGCTGTCAATACTGTAATCAATTGACGAATCTCCGATTCAGTTGGTATGTCAAATCGATTGGGATTTCTTCGAATAAGTTCTTTCCTCACACGACCTGGACCCCCGGTTTAGCTTAACCGCTACACTTAAACCACCATATTGACAACCACATCTAGAACATTTCAAGCATTTTTCATTGCTACATCGTTTTACTTTACATTTACAAATTAAGTTCTCCATGTTGGCTGTCATGGTCTCGGGTCTTTATGTCGAATGAAAACAACCCAAACCTTTCCAGAATGACTCTTTTATTTTATCCACATCAAGATGCCGGGCTGGCTCGTGTGGCAGGTGTTAAACTCTAATAAGCAAAGATAGTGTAGTAAGAAACACCTAGTTATTAATTGTGGCCTAAGTTTTAAGTGATAGTAACAGATGGAGTTAGAATACGTTATTATGAGTTTTTGTTCCGAAAGTCGTACAGAGCTATACAAGGGTTATCTGCGCATAGGAGTCTCTTTGACTAGATGGAAGGCAACTAGTCGATAGTACCTGCTCCAACTTTTGGGCTACTGATTTTCAAACCTTAAGTATTGTTCTTGGCACTTGTGTATAATGTTAAAATAATAAATAGCACACAATGTTAAAATAGATACACAATTAAAAACACTTTTAATTCATACTAATCTGCAGCCTCCAAAAGATTTACTGTACATGTTTCAACGTTTCAAAATCATCTTCAGAAGTGAATTACAAGACATAATAGCGTCTTATCATGACCTTTTAACTAGGTCATGTGACCTGTGTATAGGTTTACTATTTCTGCGTAATTCTTGAAGGAGGTACCACCACATTTTTTACCCAGATATTCACTTGACTTTCGTCTCTTTTTAACAATTCATGATCTTTTTTACATTTTTAATTTCCAAAGATTCACGGATATTGCAGGCTCTAATACCGTTTGGTTGAGCAAGTATTACTGTTTTTTCCATAGTATCTTGTGTTGTGTTTTTGTATGTGCTCTGCTATGACCGAATTTTCGATATTTTTATTTCTTACACATCCCTTACGTTCTGCTAAACGATATTTTGAATTATATAATTTAAAACATCGTTTAGCAGGATTTACCAAACCCCTATATCATAGAAACAATTATATCTTTATCTACGTGTTTGAAAAAAGGACTTGTCACTGTTTGTCATCCGGGTTTTATTTAGCCAAAGACAGCCTATAGATAAATGAACCCAAATGCATCTTTTGTAGCAAAATGTTCTAGGTGAATTGTAATTTAGCCTAAAGTAGATTTTGTGGTGCAAGGGACAACCCTTTACATGGTTAGCCCTGGGAAGTGTGCGATCCTTAAGTTGCTGCAGACATACCAACGTTGCACTTGCTATGATGGTGGGAGCTCCTGAAACCTCAAACTGTAGATACCCAGAACAAACAAGCAGCCCCTACAAAAACTAATGTGTGGAGTGTGTGATATTACTTGTCATGAGAGATTAAGATTGTTCGTGTTTCTAGACAGAGGCATTATTATACCACTTGGGCATATACATGCAGCGAGATAAGCTGAACAAGCAGTCTGTGACATTTAACGCAACGCAGCTCAAATATAAAATGCCTACTTCAGTTACTATAGAGCGTGAGAGAGCCATATCGTGAGTGGGTGAAAAGTCTAGATTTTTACACTTTTGCTGCTTTCTCTAATGATTTGTTTAAGCTCGCTAACATTATCAAAAAGCATTGCTGTCAGTTGTCAAATGCCTGAGAGGCATACGTACTTCCCATAACTGCACACGAAAAATGCGTTGATGGTATAGGCATTAATAATAAGAAAAGTAACGTTACAGGTCCCAACGTAGAAGCTTTGGTGGTCTTAAAAACAGACTTGTCGCTTACTTTGCTGACGATAAGAAACAATGACCTATCCATACTGAAATATATTCTTTGAAGTATGATATTTTTGTTGATCATGGTTTCAGTGACAGCATAAAAGTTTTGAAAGGTAGGGATCTAAGAATTGAAATGCTAGGTTATCTAAAGAATTGGAAAAAGTAGCAACCAGCAGAGAAAATAAACCATTCCAGAACGGTGATCAAAGTCAAATGTCTGTGAATGAAAGGATTAAATATAGACTTGCAAATCTCTTATAATGGAAATTGCTTAAGGATTGTTTTTGCATTGTTAAATGCCTTTCACCAAACACTGACCAACGCACAGAGAAAGAAGACCTGTACAGATAGTATTGTCATAAGAACACATCTCAGTTTCTGTCAACATTATAAGTGCAACATGCACTTGATGCAGTTGACTAGGACTAGAGCTTTTTAACGAGAAGAGTCACGATGCAGATGACTAAATGAAGGTATTGTAGGTTCACTCGAGTTATGGACAAATTACATGAAGCAAAAGTTTGTTTCAAGTGGATATTATGTAATGCACAGATAACATATGATGATATTTTGCGTTCTCTTTCTGTTGTTCGAGTTGCTGTAAACTTCCATGTATTACCATATGAGCTGATATACAGTTTTTTAATTTGTCAATAAATATACAACCTTTTCCGTAACCATTTCGAAAGCAGGTACCCAGATTTATATCTCTGATTAACGTATAGGTTTCCATATGTTAATGGTCGCCATCATGAAAATAATGACATGTTTAAGAAAACAGCGTGTAATAAGAGATCTTTCATATCTGCCGATACACATAACTCGAATAAATGTTCATCAAATTTTACATGAACTTTACCTTTGTATAAACATAGTTAAAATTTTGATTAGTTTTTACTTTTAATTGAGAAATACTGGAAAGAAAGGTGATTAGAGTTTCTTCTGACAGCACGATTTACTAACAATTGCTATGGTACCGGATTTAGTGCTGTTTAGGTTATGGTGTTTTCTGTGAAGTACTGTTTTTAACATTCACTTATTATTCTTTTGTAAAATTAATTATTCTTTCTAAAAAATTACCTTATACATTTTGAAACACTGGCATCTGAATGGGGAAAATAAGAGAGCAAAGTACTTGTTTCAGGTGCATTAATGGTTTGTATTGTCACTAGAAAAAAAACACATTTTAAGCTATCACACCTGATAAACATATTGGCTAAACATGATAACACATCCTTGACCATCTCGTTTCTACGTTTATTTATTGAATTCCAACAACTCAAGGTTAGGATTAAGATTACGTAATGTCTATATACTATAAAAGTTTGCCTAAATCTCCTCGACATTTAAACAAAAGATAAAGTAAATTAGACTTAAGGTGTGATCTACACTGAATACTTCTGCACTGAACAACGTACACCAAACGTTAAGCTCTCAACTATACTTAAATTGGTAATATTTCAATAAACTAATCAGGTGGTAGCTTACCTGCAGTAAGCAATATATTGTAGACATTCATGCGAAGTAGCGGAAGTGTAACTTTTTAAACTTATTTCAAATGTAAACACTATTTTACGTTCATCTAACATACATCAACAGAAAAAAATCTTCAGTTAAGGTAGTACACTGAAGACAAATTTTATAAAGTTTTTCTTTCATTATTTTTAACCCAATTACCTTCAAGGCAAACTCATAAACAAGACCACATTAATATAACGTCATATAG